AAGGAAGGGAGAGGGAGAGAGATAGAAACATCGATGAGAGAGAACATTGATTGGCCACCTCCTGCATGCCCCCTACTGGGGATCGGGCCCACAATCTGGGCATGTGCCCTGACTGAGAATCGAGCTGGCAACATTTTGGTGCATGGGTCGACGCTCAACCACTGAGCCACACCGGCCGGGTGGTATCTGAGCATTTCAGCCACCGCAGGGACTCTGCCGGAAGTGATGAGCACAGATTTGAATGAGCAGAGGCGTGTCTGCTGATCTCCATGGATATCTCTGTTTGGAGTTGAAACATCCTTCCTTAGAAGTGGTTCCCAGGAAAATTCTCTAGGAGAGAGCCCCCTGGGCATGAAAACTGAGCCTCAAACACAACCTGAAACTGCTCATGTCCACCTAAGAGTTGGTGTTCTGGCTGAATCAAAGGCCTCAGAGAACGTCCCTGCAAGGGTTCATGTGACTGCATGTCCTCAGGCAGAACTCCTCAATGAGACTATTAGTCACCACGAATGTTCTCACAAGGGAGTGAGGCAGGGGCCCGCCGACCTGCTGGTGGCATCATGCTGCAAATTCAGACTGAGGTCCTGGCATTTCACCTGGGTGCCATGTCTTCACTCTTGTCAAGTGTAAGCGCAGTGACAGGGACAGAGCATGGAGACTTTATCTCCTAAGAGAAATGTTCTATAGCAGAGGTTTCTACTTTCAGTTTAGAAAAATACTTAAAATATGAAATTACAAAACCAGCTTATAGAAATACAGACATCAGACAAAAACAGAACCAAAAATAAAAAATAAAAAAAAATCCCAGCAAAACGACAGTGAAGACCATCCAATATATAAGCTCCTTCATTTTGTAGCCATCTGCCCAAGGCCCATTTTTATGAGGTTAAATAAAGTCCTAAGTGGAAGCGAGAAGAAACGGGAGGGGGCCGTGGTTTCCCTGTGTGCCTTTAAGTCGCTGTGACCGTGGTCCATGCTGGCTCAAGCCTGGCTCAAGCCCTTCATGCCCGTCTCAGCAGGACCACCGCCATCCCTCCAAACTGGCCTTCCCACTTCACTCTGCTCCCTGCTCCGTTGCTTCACGGAAGCCAGTAGGATCTTTCTAGAAGGCAAATCTCTGTCCAGTCATCCCTTTGCTTAAAGCTGTTTGCTGATTCCGTAGCGCCCTGAGGATCACTGATGACTCGGGAGGCAGCATCAGGCGGCCTGACCGGTGGGCTCTGAGCTGCGCTGCCTGGGTCAGGATGTGGCCTCAGCCACGTACCAGCTGAGAGCCCTCAGGTGAGTCATTTACCTCTCTGGGCTCCATGAAAGAAGTAGATGGGAGGAACGACACTGCCCTGCCAGGGTTGTTGTGAGGATTAAGCGAGTTCAACACATACTGAAGAGCCAGTAAACATTTACTATTACGATGATCATTTCCGTTCTGCTCTCAGTTTTTCTCTGCCCCTCTACCCTTGCCCTCAGTCGTACCGAACTATATGCGGATACCTTCCCCACCCCCACTCGCCTGATGAGACGTCGCTAAATGGGAGAATAATTCTCTATTCCTAATAGAGAATAGAGAAATATTCTCCGTTTCTGTAAACTGCTGCTTTTGTCTGCAGTGTCATATCACACACACACACACACACACACGCTCACTCACACATGCTCATCTCCCCGTGTTCTCTGTATTCATCTGCTTCCAAATGGAACAGTGTCTTGGGATAAAGTGAGTGTTACCGATTAGTTGGAAAGCAACTGTCTTTCAAGGAGTCTCCTGCTTTGGTCGCTCCTGTGTGTGTTTCAGAATGCTCACTTACCCTGCCCGTCGGCACGGCAGCCAAGGTCTTCTCTGGCTTGTCACCCTCTGATCTTGTGATGCCCTGTCACCGGGAGGCCTGCAGCACTGTTATTCACAGCAGGCCTCCCAGGGACTCATAGTATGGGTCAGTGGTTGAGCGTTGACCCATGCACCAAGAGGTCACCGGTTCGATTCCCAGTCAGGGCCTAGTGGGCATAGTAGGCTCTCCTTTGAATTTGCCAAATGCGGTTTGGCTGCTGACTTTCGCTTTTCTCAGCATCTCTTTTTATTCTGGACTGTTAGCAGGCTCCGAATGTGCACTTGATGCGCAGGTTAGATCCAGCCTTGCCCAGACTGTGAAAGGAACATCGGAAAGTGAGGAAGTGGCACCCCGCAGACTCTGTATTCACGTGACATTTACGGATGGAGGCCGAGATGGTGCGACGTGACGCGTTACTATGTGACGTGGTGCGTTACTATGTGACGTGACGCGTTACTATGTGACGTGACGCGTTACTATGTGACGTGACGCGTTACTATGTGACGTGGTGCGTTACTATGTGTCGTCAGCAGGAAGCCTGCTCCAAGTGTTGTGTTTGGGGCATTCTCAGAAAACAAAGACATGGGTGGAGACTGAGAGGAAGGCAGGGGTGTGACACTGAATAAAGAACAGGGGCCTGGCGGACCTGGTCTGTTAGCCTTAGCTCTGCCGCTATTACGCACTTAGGTTTTAAATTATTTTCTCTCCTTCATCCTTAATTTCCTAATCTTTCAGGTGAGGAGGTGAGAGCAGACACACTTTCAGACCTTCCCTACTCTCTGAAATGAAGTGAGGTAGCCCAGCTAGTACTAATCAGAGCATCCTGAGTCTAGGTGTACACTTGGTTCTCATGGTGATTTGATTCGGTTCTCACTTTCAGTTTTCTAAGTCACTTTCCAAACGTCCTGGGCAGGAATGTGAGCCTTTGGCAGCCCACTACTGGGATGAGCCATCTGGACATGAAACGGGTGCTGGTTGTAAACTGAAGTAGAGACACGGATTGAGACCCGAATGAGGTGCTGCGTGCGAATACTGCCCAGCGTGGGTCCCGCTGAGTGACCCGACAGCTGCGGCCCGAGAACTCAGCTCGCTGGCTGTGGGCCATGAGCCAGTTCTGGCCCCAGTTCATTGCCTCGTACCGCCCTAGCTCCCACACAGCCCAGGGCAGCTGGGGAGAAGGACCAGGACCCCAAAAGGCAGGCAGCCTGAAGGGCAGAACAAATCCTAGTACCTCCTGTGGGTTCTGGTCTGAGTTCTGCCTGGGACGTGCTGTGTGGGCCCGGTCCCCCTCTGGGAAGGGTGTGCTCAGGTGCTCCGCACCGTGTTGCCAGGCCCCAGGAGCCCGACTGTGATGCTCTGCGAGGCTCTAAGGAGAACAGCCGTCATAATCATGATAAATAAACCATCCGGGCTGCCTCAGTCCACTGATTTGCTGATGGTGATCAGACAAGAACGGCTGCTCTGGGAGTTAATTCGCTCTTGGAGATGCTTCCTCAAAGTGACTCAAACCGGGAGCCTGAGGCAAGATGGAACCTTTAGGGTCGTCCATTCCAGTTTTCGACCTGATGGTGCAATCTCCTCTAAAGACCCCTCTAACTCAGGCTCGCACCCATCCTGTGATGGGAAAGGCACTGCCTCGTCAGGGCCTTGCGACCTGTTAGACACTGCCTGATGCGATGGTAAGCTGACAGCCATTTCCCGTTGCTGCTGTCGAGTGATGTTCAGACAGCAAGACGTGCCTGTCACACACACAGAAAGGACTTCCTGTTGTAATTTTCTGGCAGGAACCGAGAATGGTATGCACAGGGTCTCTTATGTGTGCTCGTAAGGAAATCTGGCTAACTGCATGGACTGGTGGTGTGGGAGACTTTTCTTAGAAGGCGGTAAGCGTAATTGTACTACAGTTCGATAGGTATCTTATTTCAGAAGAGAATATTTAAAAATGGTTGAAGTGGTCAATTGTATGTTTGGCTTTGTTTCTCTGTTCTCCCCTACCCCATGTCCATGATCTGCAAATGGATGCTTGGGCACATAAAAGAACCTTGCCATTTAAAGAACCCCACAAGGAATCCTGTTTTAATGTTAGTCATCACCTGCCATGTGTCAGGGTGGCGGAGGTGCTGCGCATGCTGGATGCTCCTGGGACACATTGTGGGGGGGGAGTGCTGGAAGCTAGGAAGAGTCAGATCCCATTCCAGGGTAAATTTCTGTGTCCACTGCTCGTTGTCCGTAGAGCCAGAATTAACTCAGGCTTTACTCAGGCAGGTTACTAACCCAGGAGGCCAGCCTGGTGGCGGTAGCGGCGGGGGGGGGGGCACACAATCACCATCTAGGTGTTAGATGTAGTGACAATGCCTGGTGGACAGCAGCTGCATGATTCTGGCCATGCAGTCTTTTTACTCTTCGCCAGACCCAAAGGGAGAGAAGAACTAAGTGTTTGGGGGTGCAGGGGAACAAGCGTGCTAACCTGGGAAATCGAGGCAGCGCTCTTTCTATGGACCCCGTGCATTTAGTGGTGTCCAGGGAAAGCTGAGGTGGAAAGCACCCCTCTCCCTGCCCTGCCCAGGGCTTACTGGATGCCTGGTGCCAGGCCCCAGCTCAGTGGTAGACTCACCAGCAAGAACGTGGAGCAGCTCTGCTCCCTCCCTCCTCGGGCAGACCCCAGTGGGGGCAGGGTAGCTCTCTCGGGTGAAAGCTGTAGGGACTTTGGCTGGGCAGAGCAGGGAGGACCAGAGCTTCCTTCCACGCTCTCATTCTTCCCTTTGGCTAGTGTGGTTTTCTGCTTTTAAATTCATTTTATTTTATTTTTTGAGTAAATGAACATCTGAGACAACTAGTGTTACAAAAGGACTTACCTGTTGGAAAAAGGGAACATACCTGGGCAATCCACCCTTAAGGCCTTAATTTCCAGAGAGAGCTTAGACTTGCCGAAGCACTTTGGCTGTCATGGAGCAGTGGTCCCGCCTCGGAATCACCTGGAGGCTTGTTCGGTCCCAGTGCTGGGCCATCCCTAGGAATTCCGCATCGGTAGGCCTGCTGCGGCTGCTCCAGAGACCATCATTGAGAACAACTATCCTAGAGTTATTCATCTATTCACTGTGCCGAATTTATTCAAGTTCATCATGTTTGTAAATACCTCCTACTGAAATGCTTGTCTATGTCTCCTCTGAACAGGTATTTTGACGTTGGACTTCACGATTTCTTAATCAGGTAAGCCAGTAATTTTTATTTTCGGTATCATCAAATGGCATGTCTATTAGGGAGGACTGAGATGAAAATTAAACCCTTGTTCAACGTCTTGATAAATACTGGCATTGTACACTTGTCAAGGAAACACCAGAAGCACTGTCTTTCTGTGCCTCCCAGAATCACACGAGGCCATCCTTCTTAAACAGTCACAAGAAATGTGTGTTTAAAGGGGTTTATATGTGAAATGTTAGTTACCCAAGAGCTTGAACAAGCTTAATTCCAACCGCTGGGCGTCTAGAAAGGCAAACGGAGGCGTACTAGCTGGCATTCTTGCCTTTAACAACCCTCTTCACCACTTTGCCCTCCGCTGAATTTAAGCTTTTTAAACCGAATCTACTGGTTGTTTTACAGCCATAAAGATACAACGTGTTCACAATGGAAATAGATTACAAATGGCAGTTTATATCCTAGTTTAATGGTGAATTTTACCAGAATTGGCTCACGGAGCATATTAATTCCAAGTAGCTATTAAATCAAACAGAGGTTAAATGGGAATATACCAGAATGTTAACAACATTGGAAATAATATGCATGAGATATTTTTTTTCTGCTATCAACTTTGCTGTAGTTTCTAGATATTTTTATATTGAACTTGTATTATTCGAACAAAGGTGGAAAACTCATTAGCATGCCTGTCAAAAATGTGTGTGGCGGGCAGGACTGTTTGCTGAAGGAACTGTAAGCTGAAGACTGCAGGGAGACCAGAGATCACATCTGGTGATGAGCTTTCTGCAAACGCGTGGCTCTAAATGTGAATGAACTCTGACTGAGAGTCAGCTCTTAAACAATCCACCAATCGCGGGTGATTTCTGAGAGAGGTGGTTCAGGTCTCCACATGCATGACCATCTCCTCGTGGGTAAGGTGCTGTCAGAGGGCAATGGGCATAATTGGCATGACCTTTATCCTAAACCAACAGCATTCCCTCTGTGCTAGATTACATAGGGTGCGGTGCCAGGAAAGGCCATACATGCCTTGTCCTTCCTCCAGAGCTTCCTCTGCGCTGTGCTTTGAAATCCCCTTGGCGTACCCCAGACCCAAGGACGATGCATTGTCCTGGCTTTCTCCGGGGTGCTGCACATCGTGTGTAAACTGTTACACTTGACGCATCAATGGTCAATGCATTTTAGCAGGAGGGATACAGGACCAGAAGTCATGGGAAGGCAGGCATGAGATTTCCTAACTGAAACTGATCAAGAAAAGCTGCCTGGGTATATGCTTCAGGGAGCAGTTTGGATTTTTGAGTTAATGTCTTTGGTGGTCTGTACAACTGCTGTGCTACTGTTCACATCACTCCTCGAATGCAACTTTGTACTTTTCTCATGTTCTCTAGCAACTTTCCTGAGGGCAGGGAACCTGCCTTAATCACCTTTCTGTGGTTTCACTATATAGTATCAACCTGCAACAAACATTTGTGGTAGGAGTGAGTGAATGAAACGAGGCCAAAAGGGCAAGGAGGGTGAGGATTAGCAAGAAGCTATTTAATCATTTATTCAACAAATAGTTATTAAGCCTACCCTGGGACACTTACTTGGATATATCAGGGAATACCATCCTGAGAAAAACACATTGATTTAAAGCTGTCCCTGAGATTGTCACTTGCCAGGCTGTGGTGTGGGACTTGAAGTGGGAAGGAGGGGTGGTCTGCCCCTGGGACCCCTCCTCCTTCTACTTCTGGGCTCCAGCCCTGTCTCCTGTGTCGGGTGGGGAGGAGGGAGGCATGGTTAAGTCCCTCTAATAAACGGGTGCTGGGATCTTCTTGCCCTTTCTCAGGGGTGCTGGTAAGATGCTCCATCTAACTGGTCACCTTCGTCTGTGTTCTGTGAGCCACGCAGTGGGCAGTGGGGCTTCTGTCTGCCCCGCCATCTCCTGGCCGCTTCCTCTCCCTCGGTCTGGTAGGCACAGAGCAAATATCATGTCCCTTGCTTACCCATTTGGGGGATGAGACGTCAGTCTCCCCTTCTTGCAGCCGTACCCAGCGTCTGTGACGAGGTCTCTTCATCACCCCAACCATGACAGCACTCCCCACTAAGCCAAGGACTGAGAGGCACCAGGAGCCCCGTCCCCTGTATCCGCCCAGCTTAGAAGAGCGGGCCTGGGCAGCTGCTTCCTGGGAGCAGCCAGAGTATCTCCCAGGAGTCCCTGGGCCCTCTTTAGAAAACGGCTTCTTTCTGTCTGGGAGGTCAGGCCTGATGAGGACTGTTTCACTGGAACCTGAGCTGAGGCCGGGTTCGGAGGGTGGGGGCGCGTGTCAGTGGGAGGCGAGGGGACAGCAGCAATAACTCTTTGGAGAAGTGAAGCTGTGAAGGGGGGGAAGGAAAGACCCGGCAGCTGAGGGAGAGGGAGGTTTGAGGGGGGAATTTTTTCCATTTTTTTTTAAATTGGAGCAACTCTTGCTATTTAGCCACCAACAGGCCCTAAATGTCCTTTAGACTTAGAGACAGTGGTTCCTGTGGCTGGAGAGAAGCAGAGAGTGATCGCCAGGGGAGTGAGGAGGCAGAGGCAGTGAGTGGTGCCCGGGCCCAGAGAGCAAAGGCATCTTCCTGAACGTGTCCCTAGAGAGCCCTGGAGAGGGAGAGGGAGGGGTGGTGCTTGAGGAATCCTGCTCCCTCAGGGATGGCCAAGAGCAGACCGTTTCTACTTCCCCGTGTAAAAGAGGAGACGGTGGAGAAATTGGCGTAGGTTTTTGAAGAAAAAACTAACTCCATCTGTTGGCTCCAACAAGCTCTCAACGTGATCTCGGTTTTGTCGGGCTACCTTGAATGGCACAGTAGGGTGGGCAGCATGCCTGAAAGGAATCAGCCGCATCTTTCGTGCTGGTGGAAGGAATGTCAAATTCTCTGCAGTGACACAGGCTCCTGCAAAGCGGAGCGCCCTGTCTCAGCGTAGGAGCCGCAGGGAGGGGCTGTTTCCCTCGAGTGAATGGAGTGTTGCGCTGAGCTCTGCATGGGGCGGAGCTGTCACGTTGATGAAATGTGAGCACTTCGAGTACTGGCGTTGCATGATGACTGGGAGCATTCAGAGAGCTCCGTCCTGCATCTTCTAGAAATCAAAAGAAGGCTTCCAGGAAACAGTCACTGCAGCTCACTTAAGAGCCTCAGAAGGAGGCTGCTGGTTGATTGGTCGGGGTTCTTTTTGTTGTTGTTAATCCTCACCCAGGGATATTTTTCCATTGATTTTTTAGATAGGGTGGAAGGAAGGGATGGAGGGAGGAGGAGAGAGAGAGACATGAAACATCGGTGTGTGAGAGACACATTTATTGGTTGCCTCCTGCATGACCCCGAAGGGAGCCAGAGATCAAACCTGCAGCCATGGAACCCGCAACCCCTCTGGTGCACAGGCTGATGCGCTAACTGCTAAGCCAAACCGGCCAGAGTTCTTCCTGTGACATTACAAAAGGAAGAGGAGGAGAGTGACCCACCTGGGAGAAGAGGTTATAGAAGAAAACAGCTCTGTGTCATCTGAGATAATACGGTGGCCTGTTTAAACTGTGTTCAGTTTGGTTTGGGCAAGGACGTAAGGGTGATGGGTGAGGTTTGGTTTGATTCTTGCTGACTGAGGCATTTTCCATCTTACCCAGAACTGTAGCGGCCCCAGCCCTTCCTCGAAGGCAGACCGGCTGGCTCCCTGCTGCCCGGCGCCCCCTTCTAAGTTGGGGAATCGTTTTTCAGTGATAGAGGATGCCATTGTGACTGCTGAAAGGCAACTTGGAGCCCTTTCCATCTTGTCTGAAAGATTAAACCTGTCATTTTTTTAAAAAATATTTTTTTCATTGCTTATACATTTTATTTTTATTTTTAAAAATTTTTATTTTATTTTTGTTACAGATGTTTCTCCTTTTTTACCCCATTGACACCCTCCTCCCCATCCCCCCCGCCCCATCCCAGGCTTTGTTGTCCATGTCCATTGGTTATGCGTACATGTGTATAAGTTCTGTGGTTTATCTCTTCCCTCCCCCACCACCTCCTCTTCTGAGGGTTGTCAGTCTATACCTTACTTCTATGTTTCTGGGTCTACCCTTAAAAATCAGAAAGATATTCACCCATGTTTTCTTCTTTTCTATACTGTTTATATTTGGCCATTTAATCCATTTCAAATACATAGTTCAAATAAAGATCTAACTTTTTATTTCCTGAATAGCAAAATACATTTTCTTGACCAGCACTTTCCATTTTTATTTGAAAGCCCATGTGTGAGTCACAGTGCCTCTGCCTTTGTCCCGAGGGGAAGGTCTGGGCATCCTGGGACGAGCCAAAGTGCGAAGTGGGGGTGCACGTCACTGAGGCATCTCAGGCAGATAGAGAGGGGACCCCTCCGGAGAAGGAGGGGAGCCGGGGGTGAGCCTCTGTCTTTCCTGGATCTGCCTAGGAGGGCTGAAACCTGAGTGGGCCGAGCTGGTCTGGGAACAAGAGAGAGGCTGAGGAGAGACTGGGCGTGTGGAGCAGGGAGTGAGAACCAGATGGTAATAGGAAGATAATTAGTATCTGTGATTCAGTCTGGAAGCTTCGAAACACAACCAAAATGCATGCGTGAAACCAGTATGTATATTTTTGTAGATAAATACAAAAGAAAGATAAAACCATTATGTAGGCATTGTTACATGGGATTTTGAATTTTTCATTTAGTAACTATAACATGGATGTCAACTTCTTTTTGTCTAAGTGTGTAATTTTTAGTAGTGGTATAAAAAGCAAATGAGCTGATTAAAGAGCTGCTCCCGTCTGCAGCGAGCCTAGCTGCTGCGTCTGTGCGGTCCCAGCGAGGCTCCGCGGACCTCTTGTGGCAGCCAGAGGGGAGACCAGGCTTCTTCGGTCCCTGCCGGCTGCAGACTCCCGGCGTTCTTGTTGAACCTTCCTCTCCTTCCACCGTGGTGTGCGGAAACCAGCACCCAACCGTCTGCGTGGGGTCCCAGGGACAAAGTGATTGAACTAAAAAGTGAAGAGCTCGTGGGGGGAGAAAGCCAGATA